TCCAAAGCAGGGTAATGGGACAGAATAAGAACCACTTTTTAATACTTGGTTGCAAATCCTTTGCAGTCAATCAGAGCCTGACGTCTGGAACACACAGACATCACCAGACGCCGGGTTTCATCCCTGCTGATGCTCTACTGCAACAGGCTTCAGTTCCTGCTTGTTGGGGTATTTCCCTTCAGTTTTGTCTTCAGCGAGTGAAATGCATGCTCAGTCGGATTCAGGTCAGGTGATTGACCTGGCCATTGTAAAACAGTCCACTTCTTTCCCTTCAAAGACTCTTTGGTTGATTTGCAGTTTGCTTTGGGTCGTTGTCCATCTGCACTCTGAAGCGCCGTCCAATGAGTTCTGAAGCATTTGGCTGAATATGAGCAGATAATATTACCCGAAGCACTTCAGGATTCATCGTGCTGCTTTTGTCAGCAGTCACATCAATAAATACAAGAGAACCACTGGCAGCCATACATGCCCACGCCATGACACTTCCAGCGCCATGCTTCACCGATGAAGGCGATGAGTTCCTTTCCTTCTCCATACTCTTCTCTTCCCATCACTCTGGTACAAGTTGGTCTTGGTCTCGTCTGTCCACAGGATGTTGTCCCAGAACTGCGACGGCTTTTTTAGATGTTGTTTGGCAAACTCTAATTTGTCCTTCCTGTTTTTGGGGCTCACCAATGGTTTACATCTTGTGGTGAACCCTCTGTATTCACACTGGTGGAGTCTTCTCTTGATTGTTGACACACATGCACCACCTCCTGGAGAGTGCTCTTGATCTGACCAACTGTGAAGGATGTTTTCTTCACCAGGGGAAGGATTCTTCGGTCATCCACCGCAGTTGTTTCGGGTCTTTTGGTGTTGCTGAGCTCACCGGCGCGTTCCTTCTTTTTGAATGTTCCAAACAGTTGTTTTGGCCACGCCTGATGTTTTTTCTCTCTGATGGGTTTGTTTTCTCAGCCTAATGATGGCTTGCTTCTCTGATAGTGACAGCTCTTTGGATCTTGGCAGTTGACAGCAACAGGCTCCAGATGCAAGCAGCACACTTGAAATGAACTCTGGACCTTTTATCTGCTCGTTGTAATTGGGGCAATGAGGGAATAACACACATCAGGCCATGGAACAGCTGAGAAGCCAATTGTCCCATTACTTTTGGTGCCTTAACAAGTGGGAGGCACATCTGCAAACTGTTGTAATTCCTACACCGTTCACCTGATTTGGACGTAAACACCCTCAAATGAAAGCTGACAGTCTGCAGTTAAAGCACATCTTGTTCGTTTCATTTGAAATCCATTGTGCTGGTGTATACAGCCAAAAATGTTAGACTTGTGTCGATGTCCCAATATTTATGGACCTGACTGTACATCGATGCAGCTCTTGGGAACTTTTGGAAACAGCCGGCTGCTGTAACCTGGAGTATTCAGCAAAGTGTGGGCGGTGTTGTGGCGGTTTGCACCATTGACTCACAGTGAGAGTTCAGATCCAGTTGGGGGCTCTTCTCTGTGGAGTTTGCATGATAGTGGGTATAAGGGGCTAGGTTTATTGGCAGTCCTAAATGATACCCTACGATACCCGGGACAGGCTCCAACCCTGGAGAATGAGAAAGCTAATCTCATCCAGCTTCATGTGGAGCTGAGAAATCCTTTATTGTCTTGTTAAAGCTTAAGAACTTTGGTGTGTGTGTCTGTGTGCGTGCAGGGCCATGCGGCGGCCTCGTTGTGGCCTCCCTGACAGAACGCCAGAGGATCTGGTTGACAGGAAGAAGCGCTACGTTCTGACTGGGCAGCGCTGGGACACAGATCACATCACCTACAGGTTTCCAGACCAAATGAAACAATCAGACTGCAATAACTAAAACTGCTCCGCAGAGCAGCTCTGATACGATTTTCCTTCTGACTTCAGTATAATGGACCAAAACACGCCCCCCTCCCTGGGAGAGGAACGGACGTACGACGCGATCCGCAAAGCCTTCGGCGTTTGGAGACGAGTCACGCCGCTCACCTTCGAGGAGCTACCACCTGGAAACGGCGTCAACGGCAGCCAGACGAAGCTCGCCGATATCCTGCTGCTGTTTGCCTCCGGTTTCCATGGTGATATGTCACTGTTCGATGGCGAGGGTGGGTCTCTGGCCCACGCCTACTATCCCGGACCGGGAATAGGTGGGGACACGCACTTTGATTCAGATGAGCCTTGGACACTGGACAACGAAAACCCGAAAGGTGAGTGGGTTTGTTTTTTCTGCTTATGTGAGAAATTCAACTTTATCTCTGAACAGTCGCCGTTTTGCTCGATATCAGCTGGGAGGACTCGCTTTGACTCCGCAGTGATAAATGTTTGGGCCGAGATCTCTCGGTGCCTTTTGTGTTCGTTTGTGTGCGCCCCCCCTATAGCGCCGTGTGTTTTTCTTTTTTTGTGCACTGTGAGATGTGCCCCAGCTCTACCTCTGTCTCTCTCTCTCGCAGGTATCGATCTGTTCCTGGTTGCGGTTCATGAGCTCGGTCACGCTCTGGGTCTGCAGCATTCGGATAACCCCGGAGCCACAATGGCTCCTTTCTACCAGTGGGTCCACACACAGAACTTCACGCTCCATGAGGATGACATCAGAGGCATACAGTCCATATATGGTGAGAAGAACGCGCTCTATGGATGATGGTGATACAAAGAGTTATTTCTACCAGCATGAGATGTTCTTTTCTTTGGGCTGCAGAGCTTCTAAATCTCTGTATGCAGAAGAGATGTGAAACCCCACAGTGCTCTGGAAATTATGGATTTACTAGAAATGATGCTCATGGTGAATCCTTGCACAGCGGTCCAGTCCAGTGTTTGGAGCTACTTAAATGCATCTTAGCAGTATTTATTGAAAAACACTGTTGAATCTAAAAGCAAATGCCCCAAACTTTATTTTGTCTTTCATGATTAACATTTCAAATCTGCCCTGCGGCGAAAGCCTTCATCTATTCTTGATCGTCCGTGTTGTCGGGCTCACCATGCTCAGAGCGGTTTCATCATCTTCTGTTTTCATGCTGAGCTTTGATCACTGCGCCGTTAGCGAGCCAAATGTCAGTCATCGCGCTCGCGTCACATCTGGATCCTTACAGAGGATACAGGAAGCAGCAGATGCCGAATGTCATGCATTCCATTACGATGAGCCCATCTTCTTCCTCCTGAATAGACGCCATTGTTGATTAACAGACGCCATTTGTCGGTGTGTCGCGCTGCATTAAAACCACAGACGTGAATTGTTCGCACTTGATGATTTATGAACTTTGCATTTCTTTTGCTTTAGATAAAAACGAGGATTTTCCGCTGGTTTTACGCTTGTTTTGATTTTACATCCCGTGACGTTTGATTCTCTCACATCAGCTGTTTTATATAAATGTCCTCCGAGTAACAGCTCGGAGCTTTTAGTGCTCGGAGCTGGAGATGGTTGATGCAAAACTGAGCTTAAAGCAAGAGCGAATGTTACGTTTACCCGAATAAATCCAAATGCTGCTCGTTATGGCGTTTGCTCACTAGAGGTGGGAATCACCATACATCCCACGATACGATATTATCAC